CCTGAGCACCCTTAACAGGCCTCAGGTCAAGGATATACTGTATTGAAGCCTGAGCTATATTAAATCATTCCATTCTCTTTGCCAAATCTTATGCAACCATTGATATTAATTATTCAGTATGGTTATTATTATTGATTATTTATTTCCCAATCGTTTGCCCTGCTGCCCAGTAGACTTCAGTGATCCTGAGTGTAAGCAGTATCAAGACTGCTTCTAATTACACACATTTTCATTAACTAGACAGGTTGATCTGCAAGTTGTAGCTTTCCTAAGGGTTGGATCATTTTTTAAGTTCCTTTCAGCGCATACAGTCTTATCATGCCCCAGATGTAACACATTATAGACAAGTTCACTGAAAATTGAAAAAATTGAAAAGAGCTGTAACTGAAAAAAAATGAAAGCATATTTCGTTGCTTGTGGTCACTGTAAAGAACAACACTTCAGTAACTTTTTATTCACATGAATAATCTTATAAAACCTTAAAGTATACTAAGCATATACTGGTATTACAATAAATTATAACAATTTACCCATGCACAATTAAAATACAGTAAAAATCAAAAGTTAATTAAAAAGATAATAAAAACACCTCTTTGATAGGTACAAACAGTTGATGACAAAAAAAGGGGAATCATTGAAAAGGAAATCACAATGGTAATGTGAATTAGTTGTGATAGCACTCATGATAGTGATCTAGATATGAATATTTTTCAATAAAGTTTACATAAAGATATGTTTTATTTGCCTCTACTCAAAAATAAATATTTAGAAAAGTAAGGTAAGTAATAAAGGAAGAAATAGTGTTAGATTAGCCTAAGCCTATTATTTTTATGAAAAGCTGAAGAATAGTCTACAACCGCATAGCCTAGCTAATGCTATATTACAAGTATTTATGAAAAATGTAATAAAAGGATGAATTCGTGTTAAATTACAGGTGTTTATTTAGTAAACAAGTGTGATTAGTTCAAAGAATATTTGCGCCTTAGGAAATCCCAGAATACAGAAGAAAACAAACCATCAAAAATGCATTGTGCAGAAATTCTTCAGCTTCTTTGTGAGCAACACCTAGTTGAAGTGTATAAAGATTATAAAAGATTATATTGACGGTGGTCTTTCCTATGTTTCATTTCAACATTCTATGATACATCATGCATATACATAAGATTTCCCTAATTTTCATCCCTCCAGAAGCAAGGAAGGAAGGAAGAGGCTAGTTAGAATTGCAAAAGTACTAGAAATAAGTCACTGTGATGATGAATTAGTTCCCAAATTAAGTCACCGCATTTCATGCAACAACAACAACAAAAAAAGTGGGACAGAATTTGCCAACATCAGAAATTGATTATAAATAATTCAAGCATTTCATTAGCAAAACAAAATAATAATGCTTCAAAATAATTGTAGACTCACATCATTAATGAAACAGTGATTACTTGATCAATAGGTGAGGAAAATGCAAGCTTCTTTTACTTCATTAGTCAATCCTCAAAGGCTGTATTTGCATTCAACTGGAGGTTGAAAAACAAGAGGAACTCATATTTGCAAGAGGCAAGTGAGCAAATGAATTACTGCATTACAATCACTAAATTTTGATTTAAGAGAGCTTCTTGGATTGATATTTTATGAATATTGAGGAAACCCACAAATAATCTTACTGATCATCACATATACAGGTGGGGACATTGCTCAATTGCACTGCACATGCTTTGCAAGTTGAATAGTTCCAGTTCCATTCTTTGCATCGCTACTAAAAGGTGTAAGTAGCAGGTAGTATGAAAGAAATTGCTATCTGTCCTTAGAGAGCCTGTGCCAGGACACCCTGCACAGATAAACAGTGTGACCAGACAGATGGCTAGAATGGTCATATGTTGTTTTTCACAGAGGGCAACCTTATATTTAAAGGGCTAGCAGAGGACAATTCTCTTTTTGAAGGTATGCTCTGTTTGAAAACTGTCCTGTCCATGTTGGGTTTAAATATAAAGGCGAATCTCCACTTCATCATTTATGTTTGTGGAGCTCCAGCTGTGGAAAGTGCTGTAGTGATCTGACAGAGCGCTAGTCACACACGATTGTGCAACCAGGCACAAAACCTCATGCAACCACATCAGACTGCTATGGCAAGTTCCACAGTTGGATCTCTCCAAGATTGATCAGAGATCTTCAAAGTCTCTTCTGGTTAGTCTCAGGTCTAGAGTCTCAGCAGGCACAAAGGTTGTATGGATACAATCTTCCTCACTCAGGTGAGTTGCACTGTAAGTCTGCTTCAAGTACTAAAATAATTTCTAATTGCCCATCTAATTTTCTTTTGTTACATCAGTTTCCTTTCATCTTCTCTCTTCTGGTGATGTATGCCCTGATATTGGTGGAAATCCTGTTCATCAGTATAAAAGTCACACTAGAGCAGACCCATTGAATCAATGGGGATTTGGTGAGTCAAGTTTTCTGCAAGTTCCATTGATTTAAATGTGCCTAGTCTAATTGGGAAAGCATGTTAGGCCAGAGGAATGCCCAAGTGCTAGGAATGATATGCATTTAGTGCCAGAAAGCAAATCAAACAAAACACATGCACTATGGACAGTGGAGGAACTTTTCCAAGGCAGGCTAAATGACTCAGCAAGAACTCTATACCTTGCAACTATATATAACAAAGACTTCTGAACCAACACTTTTAGGATGTATTATATCACATTTAACATACACAAGTGTTTTTAACAGTAAAAGCTGCCATAAGATAAAACAGGACACTGACCGTGCTGAGCCACGAAAATTTCATTCTCTCTTGGTAGCAATTCTAATTTCAAAACAAAACAATCCTTGTTCTTCTATTTCCACAAAAAGGAAACAGGAATGCTAACTCTAAAAACTCATTTATAATCACATCTAGTTTGGTCGGAAACTCATCTGCTGCACTGTTCCTAGTCATAATATATAATAAGGATTTTTGTTCTATGGCAAGCTCACTGGAAGAGGAAGCAAGAGAGAAAGCAGTATTTTATAGCGTCAGAAGTGCAAAACCATTACACCCTTTAAAAAGCATTCCAGAGTGAATTGTTGTCCATCATTTGAACATTACATCATTGAAAACCAAGGAAATGTATCATGTTAGGCTTCTCCCACTTCACTTTTTTGCTTATGTCAGCACCACATCAGTAAGTTATACTATTCTGAAAAGATCTATTCACAGCTGGAGCCTGTTCTATTCTGCACCAGCAGTCAAAAAACTTTTCCATCAAGAGTCAAAACTCGTCACTATCACCTTCCATCCAGACACACTGTTTCCTGCATGCCCACTGTCCACCTTGCTGCTTTTAGCTGCTTGCTCTGTGTTGTTATCTGGTGCTCCATTTTGTTCATATACGGTAATATTAGCACTCATATATTCTATGAATGCCACAATCCCATGAATGCCACAATCTCTGTAGGTGTCCTGAGGCAAGCCGTTATTTCCCAGCTTCTGTTTCCCATCTGCAATATAGAGATCATTTTGACCTACTTCACATATAGGGTTCAGAATTGTTAAAATAAATGTAGCTCATGTTTTATGAATATGCTAGAGATGGGGAAAGTTACTTTTCTGCACTCCAACTTACAGAATCCTATCACTTGAATGGTTTACTGGCCATGCTGGCTGTGGATTGTGGGAGCTGCATTCCATAAAAGTAACTTTTTCCATCTCTGCTGTAAAAAATTTTTACAACTATTTAATATTATTAGAGTCACATCAGACAAAATGTCTCTAAAATATAGCCATCCTCAAAAGAAAAATCCTGTATTTGTTACTCATGGGGTTGGGACTCTGCGTATACCAGAACTTGTTCTCAGAGGTTAAGCATTCAATTTTTTTTAAAAAAAGATGTGTTTACGAGGAAGTCCCTTATCAGTCATTCAGGTTTCTGCTTGCCTTTTTCTGGTGTTGTTTTATTTTTGAAGGGAAAGGCAGGTCATTGGTTGAGGTGGGATTGCAAGGCAAGACATTCCTAAAACCTTTTTTATTACTCTTCCAGATAACCCTTTCAAGAATGACCTGGGCTTTTGCCCCAGAGATTACTTTCTTGCCATATCTAATCTATCTGCTTCCTTTGAACATCTGGAGATTAGTTTTGAGAATTTACCTTCTTTTGACATGGTGCCTGTGTGTTCCCATGATGAATTTAGGACTGGCTTTGGATTGCCGTTTTGGGGGTGCCTAAGATGCCACTAGAAAGGGGTGCCTGGGTCCTTGGCACTGCAGCTGCTTCCCTCCAAGTAGCTTTGTCTCCAAAAGGCTGGAGGTGAGAAACCGCCTCAGCAGGGCCGAATCACAGGTGGATGAGGAGGCCCTACCTTCGCGCCCCCCCCAAGTATGCGGTGTGTGTGTGGGGGCGATGGAGAAAGAAAGCCCAGGCGAACCCCACTACGCTTTGGCCCAGGACCTGCTGCTGTTGCCACAGTAGTTCTTTTCCCTTAAAATCCCCCACCCCACCCCGCTTCTCTCTCATTCTCTCTCTGTGTATAGTATATCCATCTAGCCGGACCGCCTGCAGGGGAGAGTCTCCGGCCGCTCTCTTTCGACACCCGGCGGTCCCTCACACGCATCAGCAGCAGCAGCAGGGGGAGCTCGAGCTGGGCGGGAGTCGCCGTCCAAGCCAGAAGCCACCGGAGGATCTTCCGCGGGAGCTCAGTCCTGAGGAAGCGAGAGCGGCCAAGGGGGACGCTTGGCAAGCCGGCGCCAGAGTCAGCCAGAAGCCCCCTCCAGATGCCGCCGCGGCTGCTCCTGCTGGCTGCCCCGGAGGCATAAACTTGGGCGCTTTATTTTTATGTTTATTTATTTATTTTTTAATCCTCACACGACGCCCGCCTTCTTGCCTGCCCGCCTGCTTGTTTGTTGGGGAGGAGGAGGAGGAGGAGGAGGAAACAGCGGCGGCGGGTGTTGGAGGGGACTCGTTGCTATCCCTAGGGGCTTTCC